CAACAAGATATCCCAATGTAAGATGTTCAATTATTGACATACTTGAAAATTTCACCTACCAACTTTTAACCATTTTTAAAGTTCTAAATAATATAAATATAAAAAATATAAAATATAAATAAATTTTATAAATAAGGGATATTTCCTTTGTTGTCTAAGAAATTCTTCATCTGGCTAGCAGTATAACGGGGTAGAGTTCTAACATTTTAATTCTTGCAAACTGTTTTTCGACAGATGCTGCTGTCAATAAGTCAAAGTGTGCCACGAGACCACTTTGTAAAAATGGATCTAATGAGAAACAGTTGGTTTGAAGGTTATTAACTAACATCCGCATGCCTTCATTGATCAATTTGATGTAATAATTATTCAGATCAGAGTTATAGTCTGGTCCTGTATCTTGAAAACCACGGCTGCCAGCTACATTTCAAGGAATTTTAATGTTTCCTGGAAATTAAGCTAGTGGTTTTGCAATCAGAAACATTGGCAGTCATTGCAAAATGAATTCAAGACTGGTGAGACCCAACTCTTGGAAGTTCCCTGCATGGACGGACAGCGTTATGGGGTACTATGTTCTGAGAATAGGTTATACTCTGCATTATGCTCCTGCAGCACAATCAGCAGGATATAATAGTGTTGCCAACTCCATAACTGCAAAAGCACCTCATGGAATGATCAACATGGTCTGTGGCAGCCATGCAAAAGAATTCCCTGAAAGCAGGGAGATGCAAGTGCCTGCATCCAGCCCAAATGGAGCCCCCTCCCTTCCCATGTGGTTCTGTTCCATGTGGAAACTGTCAGAGAGCATTTGCTCCTCATGTCCGCCATGAGACATCTTTCTCCAAGCAGGAGAAGGTGAGGACCAAGTATTCTCTGCTTCCCTATGAACAAGGAAAGGTGCACTTTCTTGAAATGTTGGAAAGAAATTATGTAGAATCATGGGGCTTGGAACTCTGGCTGACAATCAGATAACTGTCCACAAACTGAACACAACAAGATCAAATGCTGAGTTGAGGGAAAAGCTACCAAAAGAAAGATCAAATTCAAAATTGGGTCCAATCTGGCCAGAGGCTGCAGAGGGAAAAAAATCAAAAAAAGATCCCCCAATGAATCCTTATGGAAGAGGCAGTTGGGTGGCAGCTTGGAAAGTTGCAGACACCGGCACTCTAAGCCCCTCCCTCCCACCATCTGGTTGGTCATGTGATCCAAAGAGGACTGATTATTAAGCAATTGGAAAGCATTCCCCAAAGCAGGGTCTGCATGCTTCCCTACCTTTTCCATGCAGAAGAGGAAGGACTGGGAAGAGGGAGGCTTCCTCTTTCTAATGCACTGTCCAGCAAATGACCAACCTCCCTGGTGATGTGGAGGCACAGCCCTTGACAAGGATTCAATTCCTCCCCTAGTTTTAGGTCAAGAGAACTAGCAAGTGAAAGTACTGGTTAGTTTCCTTACAAACTACAGATAAAGCAAAGGGGGAAAATGAGTCATTCCATACACTATCTCCCGTTTCTCTGCAAAGCAAAAACAGCAGGAAGGATCTCAAAAGTTATACTTATGTACAATCTTGCTTGTGCCAAAATGGAAGAACGTTGGTTTATGTTTGTGATCAACAAAACCTGCCACAATAACCTCCTTATGCCATTAAGAGATTCTCTTTCTAACCCACTTGCTCCAATAATACAGACGGATGTCTCCACCACACAACAGAACTCTGATTATGTAGCCGCCTGACATCTTCTTTTACTTAGGATGCTTGTGAAAAATAAAGATGGCAGCTGGTAACCCCACAGCAACCATCCCAAAGCAATTTACTTTCTGTTAAAGGTGACCCAGGGAAAAATCAACTATCAAGGTAGGCATGTAAAGGTGGACCAGTTGCCATAAGAACTCCCATATAAATCCATTATGGGGGGACAGTACTCACATATTCCCCGTACGTATCCTGTGCTGGAGGTGGTGGAAGAGGTCGGTAACCTGCAGATGGAGGAACTCCTCTTGCCCTGGGAGTGATAAGGCTACGACCGCGGCTGACGGGACCTCTGCCAGAGGGAACTCCCCTGGGCGCTGGTGCTCCCCTTGGAATGCTTGTGGGTGGTGGCAGCACACCCCCACGGGCTCTAAGAGGAAGGAAAGAGGCAATTTCTATGAAAATGGCACCTTCTGATTTTTATCACCACCCACAAGCTCTTCCCTGGTGGACAGAGAGATCAGCACAGAATTACATGTGAAACATCCCATGCAGCACCATTTTTAACCCCAAGTCTGTTAATTGATAAGAGCAAAGGATTAGCAAATATACATGGACATAGAAAATGTTCAACAACTAGGAATGAATATGTATAATAGCAAGGAGCTTCTTCCCTTTGAAGTACAGTGGGGCAAAAAAGTATTTAGTCAGCCACCAATTGTGCAAGTTCTCCCACTTAAAAAGATGAGAGAGGCCTGTAATTTTCATCATAGGTATACCTCAACTATGAGAGACAAAATGAGAAAAAAAATCCAGAAAATCACATTGTCTGATTTTTATCATTGTCATGCTGAAAGACCCAGCCACGTTTCATCTTCAATGCCCTTGCTGATGGAAGGAGGTATTATCATTGTCATGCTGAAAGACCCAGCCACGTTTCATCTTCAATGCCCTTGCTGATGGAAGGAGGTATTATCATTGTCATGCTGAAAGACCCAGCCACGTTTCATCTTCAATGCCCTTGCTGATGGAAGGAGGTATTATCATTGTCATGCTGAAAGACCCAGCCACGTTTCATCTTCAATGCCCTTGCTGATGGAAGGAGGTATTATCATTGTCATGCTGAAAGACCCAGCCACGTTTCATCTTCAATGCCCTTGCTGATGGAAGGAGGTATTATCATTGTCATGCTGAAAGACCCAGCCACGTTTCATCTTCAATGCCCTTGCTGATGGAAGGAGGTATTATCATTGTCATGCTGAAAGACCCAGCCACGTTTCATCTTCAATGCCCTTGCTGATGGAAGGAGGTATTATCATTGTCATGCTGAAAGACCCAGCCACGTTTCATCTTCAATGCCCTTGCTGATGGAAGGAGGTATTATCATTGTCATGCTGAAAGACCCAGCCACGTTTCATCTTCAATGCCCTTGCTGATGGAAGGAGGTATTATCATTGTCATGCTGAAAGACCCAGCCACGTTTCATCTTCAATGCCCTTGCTGATGGAAGGAGGTATTATCATTGTCATGCTGAAAGACCCAGCCACGTTTCATCTTCAATGCCCTTGCTGATGGAAGGAGGTATTGGCCTCTCTCATCTTTTTAAGTGGGAGAACTTGCACAATTGGTGGCTGACTAAATACTTTTTTGCCCCACTGTACCTATGTTCTCCCTCCCTCCAACGTAACCCAAACTTAATCCACAGTAAGGCTATGCAATGCTTTAGGGTCACTATTCTGGAATATGTGGGAGTATGAGTCTGTGTCTCATTAAAGCAGCTGCATCTCTTTCCAGGAGAAACCTTCCCCAAACTGAATCCCAAACATCCCACAGCAACTTTATTTAAGCAACTGATTGCTTAAATGTAAATGAAAATTAAGAGATATGAAAAATAGCAAAATACGTTTGTACACCATTTTTGGCAGAGCACCCTCAGTAACAAGTGAGATTAATGCATGAATCTACTGGATACTTCCAAGCCCTGGCCAGAAACAAATCTGCTGCAATAGTTTAGGGAAAAATCAATCAATCAATCAAAGAACAGTATCTTGGAGACTGGTAATGATCTTCTCAAACACTCATTAAGAGAGCCATGCATTTTCCATGGGTGGGGATATATGCTACCAATTTCAGATGATTGATCACAGGTCCTTCCCACCGTAGTTCATCACATACACCTCATCTGTGGTGGGTTTCTCCTGAAACATGGCTAGGGAATGAGATGGTATGAACTGCAGCATGAGATGTTTTAATAAAGGTAAAACATAGCATTGTGCACTTAGCAGATCTGCATGATAAAATGCATTAGGGAAAGTTGTAATCTACTGCTTCAGAGAGCTCTTCGCAACTAGTCTTTCGACTGAAAACCCTGAAAAAATATTAATTTCGTTTGTCTCTTCAAAAGGAGTCTTGAACATACACGCATACCGTCACACAAATGCCAAGTGGATGTAGAGATTATTTCACTAATCGGTATCACTTCTCTTGCCTGCTTCTGGCAATGGGGGATATCGCACACAGAGAAAACTCCACATGCTTATTTTTAATGCTTCAGAAATGAAACTTAAAGGTCATTAACCAAAGCAAAAAAAGATTTCTGGTTTTTAAGAAGGAGCCCTAGCAGCCTGTCTAATTCAAGGAACAGTCTTAAAGAAGGAAAAATATGTAAAGAGGCAAGCGGAAGGAGGAGGAGGATAACTGTAGGGTCACCAAGCCACTAAGCAGTTTGAAGATTACTTCAGCGACCAATACATCCAACCTAAACCTTTTATTTTATAGAACGGAGGCTAAGCTTACATTTTTGTGTCACACAGATGGTTAGACAAGGATAACAGTTCATAATCTACAACATATGTACGCCCCTGTCACCCACAGGCACTCTCTCTCCCAGCAAATCAGAGACAGTAGAAAACAATCACATTTTCCTCTGGAAGCTCCATAGCTGCTTCTTTTTTAACCAGACGTGATTGTACCATTCACTAAATTATTTATTTTGTGCAAAACTTCTGGGATTTGCAGAAAGAGCCATCAGCAGCACTTTGTCTGTCTGAAATATTTATTTATTTCATCTGAAGAATTTATATGGTGGTCCAAACTGAACAATGTGATTGTGGAAGGCTTACAAGGAAAAAAAAAATCCAAGATAAAAACAGCAATCAATAATGATCAGTAATAAGCAACCAGGCTCACAGGTCACCAGTTGAGAGAGAGAAAAATCTTAAAAATTGACATCAGAACATGACTAATGTTTCTTTATTCTTAACTATTAATACTTTATTTCCTCCCTATTTTATATCAGAACTGTTTTGTTTTCTGGGCTAATAAATAATACATTTTCCCTAAAGATACATATTTACTTAGCAATCCCTGAGATTTTTCAATTTTGCCTGCACCAAAAAACTATACCATAGTTTTGTATGACAATGTTGGCAGTGTCCATTACCTCAGAACTGTGTTTCTTCTTTCACGTTAAAATCTTTTTCCTAATTAATTCTTCTTACTTTAGACAGCATAAGTACATATGTAAAGCAAGGATATTTTTGTCCTAATTGCCTCACTCTACATTTGCTTTAATTTTTTTCACCATCTCTTTCTCCAGGTAAATATCCTTTCCTTTTTTTTTTTTTCATAAAGAACTTTATTAAGTTTCAACAAGTAATAAAATGTAAGGAAACAGAAAAAAAAAGAGCAGAAAAAGAGAAAAGATCAGAACAAGAACAGAATTTAAAATGCAGGAAGAAAAAAAAACAAACAGGGAAAAAAGATAACTTCTGACTTTCTTTGGTACAGGTACAAGTGTACAATAGTCACCTCTTACTCTAACATGTAAACTAATATGAAGTATTTCTATAGCTATAAAAAAAATAAATCGTTAAATCCCAGAATTACAATTTCATTACTTCCGGTTTCAAGCAAAAAGTCCAAAAGCGGTTTCCAAATAAAAACAAGCAAATATCCTTTCCAAGGCCAGAGCAATCCCTCTTTGTTTTCAACTTCTTGAAGAATCTGGTGTCATCCAAAATTTTCCCCATCTAACTTCCCATCTGTAGTGCTGGGGCATTTGCCAATTCAATAAATGTTTATTTTAATTCAATGAGATAGGCCTGAGATGAGCTCATTTATTCCCGCTTGCTAAATTTTGATTGATCATTGACCAACAAGGTATGAAGGCAGGAGATAATGGTTTGCATACTTTTAAAGCGCATACGGCACATTTCAAAAAGGTTTCAGGAGGAGGTCCTAATTCATACATGACATGGTCGTCACTGATCAAAAGGCAGGCAGTTGTACGTCCCAGCAAAAACCTACCTCCAGCTCACAGGAAAAACTTCATTTCCCCATTCAAAGACAACCTACAGATCAATATAATTAACGTGATGCTGTGCAGGTTTGCCGAGCAGCTTCCAAGGCATCTCATTAGCGAAAAACTTCATTTCCCCTTTCAAAGACAACCTACAGATCAATATAATTAACGTGATGCTGTGCAGGTTTGCCGAGCAGCTTCCAAGGCATCTCATTAGCGACACCCTTTCTCTCTTCTGCCTTGTTGGTTTAGAATTGTTTCTCAGCTCGCACACCAGCAAAGTTGGGCCTTTTTTTGCCTTTTCCTTAATGAACAGATTACATTTTGAGAGAAAGGTTGCAGTATGAAATATACCCTAGTTTTCAGATGGTTTTGCATTCCCTAGATCAGTGTTTCTCAACCTCGGCAACTTGCAGAATGGGTGGACTTCAACTCCCAGAATT